CAGTCTAACCCAGATAAAGGTTTCTAGTAAGAGCGCTGCAGGTTCCAGGTTGACTGTGCCTTAGAAGCTTCTAGAAAAAAAATTACCTAAGCTGACAAATAAAATGACAGATTTTACTTTTCTTTTTTCCCAACTGCAAACTCAGTCTGTGAACAGAAAGCAAAGATGTGAGTTCTCATCACCTCAAGCATTGCCACCCAGCACATCATCTCGACAAGCCTGCAGTGTGCATGCAACTGGGCGTGCTGCTGTGGGGTACATGCTGTGGTGCCAGGGGTGCATGGGCTGCACGTCACGGGTGTGCAACATGCTCAGTGTGAGTGTGTAGGGTGCATGCTGTGCCCATACAGGGTGCACCCCATGGGCATCTGGGGTGAACTCTGTGAGTATGCAAGGTGCACACTGTGGGTATGCTGCCAGAGTCCAACTCATCAAGATAATCTGCAACAATTCAGAAGTCACAGGCAGACATGATGCCTGAGACAATGGTCAGACAGTGCATGCACTTGGCAGCTGGAGGGAAACCCCTCTGCTCTTTCTTTTAACAAACCAAACATGATCCTGCAATTGTATTAAAGGCAGGCACCCAGCTGGACAGGCCAGGTTAACACCTGGGAGTTACCAGCTGGTCACCTCAGATGGTCACTAGCCCTGAACACAACACTTCCCCATAACCTCCCCAATCCCCCACTGAGGCAACAACCTATTCCCACAGGACAGGAGAGCACTGTATCCAAGGCAAACAGGCAATACACAGCCACCTCAGCAAGAGCCAGGTAATGGGGAAAAGCATGACTGTGGTGCAATGGCATGCAGACACTGCTGGGGAGCAAAGCCCAAAGGCCAGCTGGTCATCCACTGCCCTGGAGACCTCCACTCCAGCATGACCTCAGGGCAGTGGTTGCTCAACTGCTGGTGCAGGGCCAGAGGCTGATGGGCAGCCCTGAGGTTGCTCCACTGAGGCTGGGGTGACTCAGCATGATTCAGGGGGAAAATGGTGAAGAGAAAAGGTCTGAGGGAAGGAAGACTCAGCCCACATGGGACAGCATCTGCAGGACCCCCATGACACAAGCTGTGATGGATGCTGGGCTGCACCACCAGAATGCAGGAGGGAGGACAGAGGAAAAAAAACCTGAAAATCAGGCTGTGGATACTGTTTCAAGAGGAGATGGCTGCACATCCCTAGAAGTGCCACCCACGAGAAGGATGGCACTGTCCTGCTCTCTGACCCCTGCCATGCTTGGAGATGAGGCACCTGGGGATGCTGCACCCATCAGCCCCAACCTCAGCCTCCCCAGGGAGTCACTCAGAGCACAGCCTTGGCCCACTGCCACACCACAGAGGGCTGTTATCTCTGGGCATCTCATGGGCACTTCAGAAAGCAGTGCTGGTGGTTTGGCTATGAAATAACCCTGGGCAGCATCGCTACAAGATGTGTCCCATGCTTCCAAGAGCATGCCAGGATTGAGCCAGGAAGGTGCAAATAGTGGGACCTTCAATGTCCTCACCATCCTGGGCATAGCTACCACTCTTACACTGACCTAAAGAACACCTGGGGCTTGACCTCCTGATGTGCATTACATGGCTGCCACAGGCCAGCTTGAAGATACTTGTAATTAAAGGGGAAGTGACCTTGCCACAGTCACAGATAAACTGAAAAACTCCTTTGGGACCACCTGGCAGAAGAAATTGATGTTGCACATTAAGTGTTTCTCCGTCAAAGATGGAGTTTTACCAGATTTATTTTGATCTGAGATGACCCTGCCCTTAGTACAGCACTACAAGAGTACTGTTCTGCGGAAGACACCCTCCTGTGAGGAAAACCACATGCTAATTCAGAGATGCCTTTCCTAGGAACCTCTTACAGGAAGTTTGACCACACTCGGGTGGCTGGGGGGTAGGTAGTCTTGCTTCCTGCCCAGGAGCACTCCTAGGAGCAAACTTGCCTTTGTGGAGAGAGCTCAGTTAGGGGAGTTCACCAAGGCCACTCTCCATCAAGGGTTTTGCCCAGATGCACTGCACAAGCTGAACACCCCATGCTGTCAGTTCTGCTCTAAGAGGAAAAGACAAGGCAAAAAGAAGGTGCTTGGGCTTGGTGGGAGAAACTTCTCTATCTCTCTCCTACCTGATAAACACCCAGACAACCCCTTGACTCATCAGCAGCTAGCAGGTAACCTCCAAAGACAGAAATGGAAAGAGAAGAAGGGAAAAAACCTGTCCTTAAAGAGGCAGGAGGACAGAGAGATGCAAGCTCAAAGTCTGGAGAAAAGCTGTTGCTGTCAGTAGGAGGGGATGGCTTTTCACACCACAGAACTGGAAGCAAAGCTTTTGTCCATTGGGAGAAGAGTCCCTGGATGTGAAGCCTGAAGTTATCAGCTGTGCATGCAAGGACTTGTAAGTGAAGATGCATTTGCACAGCTCTAAGATGCCCTGTTTTAGTCACATGAACAATCTCGCTTCCCCTCCTCAATCCCACATCTTCCAAGCACACAGAAAATCCTCAGAGCTTCGATCTGCAACAGAACCTTGACACAAGCACCTCTGACCTACAGACACAAATCCATTTATTGCTGGGCTGGGAGGCTGGACAAAGAGGAGTGGTATCTCAGAGCTGGATGCCAGGGCCACTCTCTGATTCAGCAAAGCCCTGATAAGAAATGTTATCCTCCATTCAGTAATTTTAGCCCATGAGATAAGAATCTCTATCAGCCTCAAACATATGGCTGGCTGCAGTGCATGCAGCAAAATGAGACGGGTAATTTATTTGCTTGTGCTAAGAGCACTCCCAGACCCAGAAAAGCAGATGCAATTAAATAATAAGTGCCAAATTACACTCTATTCTTCTTTGGAAACCTGGAAGAGGCTCCTGTGAGATACAAGTAGTTGTATCTCCCTCCTTTAAGCATCAAGCCACCAAGAAGACAACAGTCCTACATGACTAACTGAAGACTGAGCTGTACTGGATTTTCTAAAGTCTGTGCTTCTCATGAAATCCTACTTATTACACAGGAATTGACCCCCACAGATATGATTGGTGCTCTCTATGAAGTGCCAGTAGATGCTTCCCAGGGGAAGAAGTGGAGGGGTTAAATGACAGAATTACACAGGACTAAGGGTGAATTCCAATCTCCTGGTCACTGGACAAGGACCATCAGTCCACTGGGTGCTGTGATGTCCCCTGGCCAAATCCAACTTAGCACCTCTGATTAGGTGACTTTGGCTAATCCATATAAATGCAATACTGGGCCAGAGATTGCATGGCTTGGGTTGCTCAGAGTAATGAACTCAATAACCTGAGTACGACAGGAGCATCTGATCCATGGGGACAAATGGACATAAAGGACACCCCAAGAAACATTTAGCATATTTAACCATTGGATTCTGCAAGGATCTGCTAAGAAAAGCTCATTCCTAAAGCACTCATTCTTATACTCTTTCCTCTCTTAGCTATCACCAAGGGAGATACCAAACTACATGGTCTTGCTCTGTAGCCACTTCTACTCCCTTTCATCCTTTAACAGTGTGGCTGCTGCTCAATGTGTATCACACATTTTGTCACCTCACCTTTAAATGGGGGAATTTCACTGGAAGATTAACATCTAAACATCCACTCTGAAACAGAAACTTTGTCTTAACGAACAAATACTTTAATTTGGTTCTTCCAAGGAACTGGGCCAGACCCAGACTTTGAAAGAATCCTTCATCTCTCTGATTCAAATCTGCTTTAGAAATTTAGCAGCTACACATTTAGTCATATATAGTCTCTTCATAGATGTGAAACCATTGCTGCTTCCCAGACAGTGGTACCTTCCCACCACCGCATCTACCCATGTCACTAGCATTCTCACTGGAAAAATCAGCAGTTAAACCAACAACTGAATGAGTCACAGAGGTTAAAAACTTCTAATACAAGGTGATGGTCCTTCCAGCTCAGTGCTAAGACACGAGGGTGAGGGACAGCCAGAAAATCTCTGATCTGAAGAGAAGGAGGGGATTTTCACCTCAGTGGGGTTCAGTTCAGCATTTTTCATCACTGTCAAATTTATTAGGGCATGTTGCCATGACAGTATAGGTCCCCATGCACACACTGGCATGGCCTTCATGGCAACATCACACACACCACACATACTCAGAGGGAGAGTCTGATGAACCCTTTCCACCCTCACCACCATCCAGCCTTCAGAGTACACAGAGTGCATGAAGTGCTCTGCTGCACAGGAAAGCCGTATGTCCCCCGTGCCCATGGAGCTGCATTGCTAGAACAGACCAAGCCTGACACTCCTCTGTTATCCTGGCCAGCCTCTTCCTCAAAGAAATGCTTCCAGCACTCCAGAGCCCAGGGTCCAACATGGGAGGACCCATGCACGTTTATAAGGAAAACCATTTGCAGCAGGAAAGAAGCTAAAAACTAAATCAAGCTTCAACTTTCTTTTTCACAATCAATGTTTTTCAGTTATCTGAAAGTAGTAAATTGGAAACAGGTAATTTTGCTCTATTTTCTGCCTTTCTCCTCTTGTGTCTTTGCACAAAAGCAATGCGAAAACCCATACATTTCAGCTCTCTCTGTATGTCATCAGTTTGGAAAATGTAGAATCACTGTCCTCCTCTGGAGCTGCAAAGAGTGCAGTGCAAACAGTGAGGGACTCCTCATCCTCACTGCCAACAACAGAGCAGCAAGTTCTTCAGGCATAAAGGCGGAAGTGTCCTCCAGAAACAACACATTTAATGTGTGTGTGTGCGAGCACAGATGCTTGAAAAATTAAGTCTTAGATATGTGGACAACTAAAGGCAGTTGAGATTTGCTGATGATTTTTACATTAAGCCTGCTCAAGGCATGGGTGATGCAGGACACGGGAAGTGGCCAGGGAACAGGACAGAGACTGGGGACAGTAGGAGAAACTACTCAATGCATGGACTCATTACTCATCTCACTTCTTGTCTGATGGATATTTCAATGAGGTAGAAAGGAAAGAAAAAGTTTTGTGTTTGGTTTTTTTTACCTTGTTACAGAGCTTCAGTTCCAGTCTGGAGGTCAGGAAGCTGGCTTTTAGCATCACCTCTTCTCCTTCTCCTGGACACATTCTTCCCAGGTAAAATCTGTCTCTAAACCAAGATGTATATGCCAGGCTTTTCTCCTTTTGAGCACTCCTTCCAAGAGCAACACAGCATCGATTTTCATTACTTGTGTAAAGCAGCCAGCTCCATACTATCTCCTTGTGTGACACTGAAAATATAAATTTAAGTTCCTCTGTCCCCAAAGTCGAGGGGGAGGGTTGCCTGGCAAGTTCAGAAAGTCTCCTGAAATACTGTAATCCAAGCTGAATTGCAGCTCATCAAGCTTCATCATCCAAACAGTGAATACACCTATAAAGAAAATATAGTTTTATTATCTGGATCAGGACAGATTGACAAACCTGCAGGTTTTATACATGATTTCTATTAATATCAAGAGAGTGATGTCTGGTACACCCATCAAAGGACACCCCAACCTCTCAGTACTGACAAAAGAACAACTTGTTGTTGCCTCAAGATTCAGCCACTGGAAGGTACTACTCTAACAGAGATGAATAAGACATGTCAAAAAAAAATCCAGTTCTATCAGCCTTGTGGGATTTAAAGATCTTGATTTTTTTCTACCATTCTGAATAAGTGGAAAGCAATATAAAAGTCTTGAAATTTTGAAAGTTGCTGAATTGAAACTCATTTTGACTTGAAGCACTTAGTTTCAACAGTTGGAAAATTTCCCTTTGGAGTCACAAACTTTTACATTTTGCATTATAACTTCCATTAGAAACAAAGACTCCTTTCAAATACAAACCAAAATGCAGATGGAGTCAGAAATTTTAGATGTACTGTCAGTGGCCAACCCTCCAAATTTTTACTACACTTTTCCCAAAAAGAAGGATTTACTGAAGCTGACTGTCTCCTGAAGGTGCATTCAACTGCAATATAGCACCAGATTAGTGACAAAGTAACAGCTCAAATGCCAAAAGGAAGCATTGAGCAACTTTAATCAAATTAAGTGGATTTTAATACACAATACAATATAGTTAGCTGTACATGTATATTCTACCCTAAGACAATGAAAGTATTTGACTACAGACTGTCACAAACTAGCAAAATTACTACACTGTGTGTTGATTAATATTTATGCAGACATTGCTCTGCTGGATATAACATACTGCTCCACTGAGGAGATAGGAACAACTCCAGAAATCAAATCAAGATTAAACTCTAAGTTTTATCAAAAATATTCTTTTTTTGTGTGTGTGCAGAGAGAAACTGAAACACGGCATTTAGGTACTTTATCTAAACTAAAGCCTTTCATGATGTCCAGAAGCTCCTCCACTGGACACTGGCCAGACACAAGCAACCCAAAGTAATGGTCCTGAGAAAGAAGCAGCCTTCATCTGTGTTCAGAGGGCATTTGAAAGAGATGGAAAATAAATATTACAATGGAGATGTCTACAAGGTTTGTTTGGGTGGGAAGAGCTGCAGAAGAAGAGGCCAGCAGCCCTATCCCATTAGGAAGGGATCTGCAAACTAACTCCAGCCCAGCAGAGAGAGGATTGCCAGGGCAGGCCAGAGACACAGAAACTCAGGTTTAGGAGGCAGTTGGGGAATAACTTGTAATTTAGCCTCATAAAATAAGATCTCTCTTATATCAATGGAAGTATGGTCCTACCCAGATTTCATGTTCCTAGTTAAAGACACCACCAGGGAAATGGTGGCCCATGGCAGAGGGGTTGGAATAGATGATCTCTACCATCTCTTCCAGCCCAGGCTTTTCTACGATATCATTCTATGAGAAGCAGGAAAGCTGGTCTATGATGCAGAAGAAACCTCTTTCTTGAGTGCAGGATGTGGCACAGGAGGTACAAAGCCACTGATGCTCAAACACACCTTTGCTAGAGAAGCCAAGCACTGTGATTCATTGCCAGAAGAAACGAGATCATAGCTTGGTGTGCTGGAAGTAAATGGCTCTGGCACTGCCTAGGAGCATGGGAGGCACAGCTAAGAAGATGGCAAATGGAAACAAGATGGGCCCCAACCCATGAGGGTGGTAATGCCATCCAAAGCTCCAGAAATGTTTCTCTCTGACCATCTCTTGCTGCTTTCTGTGTTCACGTGACAAACATTTAGAAGCCACGCTGTCTTTCCTGCTTCAAGACCTGCACTGCTGTTTCAGCATCTGTACTCTCTGAAGTACCACACACACAAACCAAGGTGCTGCAGGCTCCTCTGGGGCTGTACAATGTCCACCTCTATCCTGTGAATCACTCATTGGGCTGCTCTCTGACATGTAACCAAGAGCACTTGATGGCCCATCCTTGGCCAGCTCACAGGGCTGTGTCATTCATTAGTGAGGAAGAGGCAAAAATAGGATGAGATCTACGCCTTTGGGCCATTCATCTCACAGGCACCTACCACACCAACCTCTCCTCCTCACAGAAGGGCTTTGCCACACCCCAACCACACATTTCCACCTTCTTCCCCCATTTTAACCTGCATAACCTCCAACGTCACCCCACCATCCCTGGAGGGAGATGACACACTAGCCTTCCTATGGGGACATAAGATTCTCTTCTTCTTCAAAGACCTTGTGGCTGCCATCACCTTTCAAGACCAGGCATCCACGTCTGTACTTTGCAGTAAGCACCACAAACTAGTCTGCTCTGAAAACACGCTCCCTGTGAGACAAAAAATGAACCACCAGAAGAAGTCACTGGGGAAGAGGGAGGAAGGGCAGCGTGGTGTAAGGAGCTGCAGAGCTCACCAATCTGAGTCTGGATCAGAAGGGCTGTGACCCAGGGCTTGGAGTGTGCAGCCTAGAAAGGCACTGCACAGCTCAGGGCACTGGGATTATGGAACATTATCCTCAGGCTGCTGGCAATATTTCCTTGGGCAGGGCACAACGCTGACACACTGACATTAAAAGCACAGCTCCCAGTAGTATCCTGGCTGCCCAAAGCCCCGCCATGAGGCGGCTGAGCTGTCCCAAAGCTGACCCTCCCTGGAGGAACAACCACATGCTGACAATCCTGGCGCAGGGATTAGCAAGGCAGGGTTGAAGTGCTAAACAGATACAACTAGAGAGAGAAACAGCTTCCCACTAATGAGGAGACAGGCAGGAGTATCTTCTCACACAAGGAGAGCTTGCCCTGCTCTCAGCTGAAGTCAGCGTTCAGACAGACAAATGTCTTGCCCACATGGCTGAATTGCAACAGCACAGGTACACAGTGACCTGTAACCAGGCAAACCTGGGGCACAGTACTTAAAATTACATGGAAGACTACTTCCAAACACCCTGCACAAATGGTAAAAGCAAGAATAATTTGGGTTACAGTCTGGATTGCCTTCCTTTCCCACGCTTCCTCGGCAGCTGGTTGTCCTTGCTTCTGCTGCTAAACTTCCCCCTCCTCCATTTCTGCATTACTCATAAATTAGCATCACACACAGCAGCAGGCAGTAAAACACACCAGCAGCACTGCTGAAGGCATTGACTTCAACAGTGGCTTAAGCAGATGTGCTATGGAAACATCTGGATGCTATTACCAAAAAGCTTTCTAGGTTCCCCATCAGATCAACACCTCTGCTTCCTCTGAATCATTACACATAAGAAAAAATATAGAACCAATAATAAAAATATCTCAGCTGGAAATACAGTTAACTCTCTGTGTCTAGTATCTAGAAATTCACCAGCACTGACCCAAACCCCCAATGCTAGCAGCCAGTCCATGCCCCCAGGGCAAGAAGCTTGGTGCTACACTTCATAGCCAGCAATGACAGGTTTGACTGGCATAGTGCCTGCAGGTTAACCATCTCCATGGTTAATCTTCACAGGAGAAAACAACCCATGAAGATCTGAAGAGGTCAAAAAAGCCTGCAGGACTTTGGAGCCAGTGGTATGCATCTATCCCGTCCCACCATCCACTGGAGATCTCAGTATTATTTTCCTCTTGTGAACTACCTTCCTTCCCCAGCTCTGTAAAACACATTCCTAGGAGCTCTCAGCTTTGTAAAGATTTTTGACGTGTGGCTGGTACAGGGAGAAAGGTTGGACTACAATTCAGAATACAAACCAAGAAAAAAAAATACATCAAAAAGATTAAAGAGACGCTTGGCATATTAAAGAAATGGGTGCGTGGAAACTTTTTAAACATACAAGACCTACAGGACTGGCTGAGGTAAGAGGCATAATTAGCTCAACGTGAGCTTGCAAGGCAGGTTCATGGTGCCTGGCTCCACAGAGGAGGGATGTCACGTACCAGCAGAGGCCCTGTTATCTTCGGGCCTTGGGCTGGCACAGCTGATGGGAGTGTGAGGTTTCATACCTGTGCCCACACTTCAAGAATACTGCTGGAAAAACTGGAGAGAGTTCAGAGGACAACCACAAGAACAAACCTGGGCTTGTAGTAAGGAGCTCAAGAAGTCAATCAAAGAGAAAGTTAAAAGGCACCTCGCAGCCTGTAGGTACCTGTCAGAAGAGTGCTCTCAGCCTGCCAGACAAAGGCATAACGAGACCAAAGGTTGAAAGTTGAAGCTCCACAGAAAACAAACCAGAAACAACGATACCATTTTTCAACACTTCAGATAATTAAAAGAGAGAAGAGTCCTCCAATTGGCATGGCCAGGGATCCAGCACTGGCAATTTTCAAAATAAAATGGGATGCTTTCACCTTTCTTTTCTTGCTCCCCCAAAAATGTATGCTTGGTTGCATTCACAACTGCTGACTGCAGAGCAGAAATTAATTCAAGGAACCTCTGTTATACAGCAGGTCAGACTAAACAAGCATAACGTCCTTAAAGCCTAGAAATCCATGAGGTACGAAGAACAAGAGGCTCAATTACAGGTGGTATGAAGAACAAGATGCCCCATTATCAGTTGTCAGGCTTGTCCAGCCCCAGACATCCCTGCCCCATCCAAAGGTCCTCTGCATCCCACGACTACCCACATGTGGATTCTGAAGAGCAGCAAAAGTGCCAGATCCATACCACAAGCAGCAAAATAAAATGCTGTTAAACCAAGTAAGCCATTCTGATGTTTTTTTCCCAGCTAAAAAAACAGGAAAAATCATATCCACACAAAAGTGAATTTTAAAAAATACACTCACTGGCCAGAAACAAAGCATAATGTAAGAAATAAGCATTTTACAGTGAGATCACTCATTGGAATAACCTCCCCAGGGAGATGGCAGAGTCTCCATCACTGGACGTCTTCAAGATACAACCGGACAAGGTTGCTACAATCACCTTGGCTCCCTTTCCCACAAAAGACTGAACCAGACAATCCCTTCCAGTCTGGGCCGGTCTGTGGCTCTACAAAAGGCATACAAAACTTTCCTGACTACAAGCACTTGAGC